AAAGTTCCTTGTTCAAAGTCAATTCCAACTCCTTCTACATATTCTATTTCACCTCATTTTATTGCTAATTCTCTTGTTATCCAGTCTGCATAATCTGCTGTTTCTCATAATTCTGTTCTTGATCATTCCACTCCTTCTATGCCTAATATTACTCTTGTTTCACCTGCTACTCTTAGAAGATCCAGTAGACATACAATCCTCCTATTTGGGCACAAGACTTTGTTTGTTCTACACTACATCATAATCCTATAGCCAATACTTCACACTATCCCATTACCAATTTTGTTTCCTATGCTAATGTATCCCCTTCCTATAAAGCATTCCTATCCAATCTCTCCTTAGTTGAACCCACTACTTTTACACAAGCCTTAAAGATCAGAATTGGGTCACTACTATGCAGAAAAAAATTCAGGAATTAAAAAGCAATCAAACCTGATCCTTAGTACCTTTGCCCCTTGGTAAGGCTTCCATTGGTTGCAAGTGGGTATATAAACTTAAGTATAAGGCTGATGGCACACTAAACCGATACAAGGCACGCTTGGTTGCTAAAGGGTATACACCACAGGCTGGGATTGATTATAAGGAGACTTTCTCTCCAGTTGTAAATATGGTTAGTGTTAGAATAGTTTTGGCTTTAGCCTCCATGAGCTATTGGCCCCTCTATCAGTTTGATGTGGACAATGTTTTCTTGCAAGGGGACTTGCAACAGGAAATTTACATGACATTGCCCTAAGGTTTTCCAAGGCAAGGGGGCAAAATCTGGTATGCAAGCTCCATAAATCCTTATATGGATTGAAAGAGGCTTCTAGAGCCTGGAATTATAAGCTAACTACAACACTTTTGAAAGGTGGGTTCCAGCAGTCTCCGTCAAATTATTCCTTGTTTCTCAAAAGAAGTCAATCTCACATTGTCCTAATTCTTGTGTATGTAAATGACATTGTGATAACAGGTGATGATCCAACCTTAATCCGCCACACTAAACAACTGCTACACCACAATTTTAAGTTGAAGGATTTAGGTGTATTGCAGTATTTTCTAAGTTTTGAAATGGCCATGTCCTCTAAGGGAATTAGCCTTTGTTAACGTAAGTATGCATTGGAATTGATCTCAGAATCAGGTCTTTCAGGTTCTAAGCCATTTGGTTCCCATGGAGTCCAATCTGATGCTTACTTCTACAGCATTTGATAATTAGTTCCCTTCTAACAGCATTAAGAATGATCATTTACTTCCTTATCCTACAGTTTATCAATGATTAGTTGGCAAACTGCTCTACCTCTGTATGACCAGGCCAGACTTCAATTACTCAGTCAATTTATGCACCAGCCTAAGCAGTCACATATGGTAGCAACTCTTAAAGTGATCAGATATGTGAAATCAACTCCTGGACTTGGTTTATTCTTTCCTGCTCATAATACTTTGTCTTTATCTGCCTATAGTGACTCTAATTAGGGTTCTTGCTTGATAACGAGGAAGTCCATCACTGGCTTCTGTATTTTTCTTGGCTCTTCTCTGCTTTCTTGGAAATCCAAGCGCCAAGCTACCATTTCCAAGTCTTCCTCTGAGGCTAAATATAAAGCCATGGCCTCTACTGTATGTGTGGTAGTTTGGTTAGTTCAATTGCTCATGGAACTTGGTTTCCCTGCTCAGCTTCTTGTTACTCTTCACTGTGACAACTAAGATGCCAACCACATTGCTTCGAATCTTATGTTCCATGAGAAAACCAAACATATTGAAATTGATTTTCATATTGTGCGGGAGCAACTGAAGAATGGTCTGATCACTACTGCCCATATTTCTTCATGTGAGCAGCCTGGTGATATTCTTGCTAAAGCAATTGGCAAGACTCTTCATCATCACATGTTACACAAGTTAGGTGTGCTAGATCTTTACCACACTCCAACTTTGTTTTTTTTTTGGGGGGGGGGGGGGGGGGGGGGGGGGGGGGGGGGGGGTTATTAGATGTAAAGGGTATTAATGTAATTTACTCTTGCTAAGTTGAGTTAGTTTAGAATGAGTGAGTTAGTTCACTCTTTAGCTCAATAAGTAACTGAGCTATTATGTTGTATATAAAGAACAGTAAAACTTTAGTAAACACATGAATTCATTTTCCCAAAACTCAGCTACATTTCTTTACTTCCTCGTTTATTAACAACAACAAGCAAAAAGAAGCACAGGTTAACACAACAAAAGCAACAAAAAGAACAGAAAACTAAGTAATTCTTGATAATTGATGACATGCCCAACAACATATTGAATTAGAAAAATTAATAAGCAATACAACAAGCAAACATCCGTTTTCTTATCTCAAAGAGATACTCTTATATATGAATTTAATTTGAAGGTATCTAATTAATGCAAAAGCCCGATGGGATTTTATATTCCAAAGACTCTTCCCATCAAGATAAATTGTTGAGAGTAAAATTCGTTGATCCGTTTTCTAAGGGAAGCTTAATCGTGGCCTGGAAGCAAGCATTTCTCAAAGTGTGGTAAGTGCATGAAGGAGACCTTTTTATCTTAGAATATCACTAGAATATTTGCAAATCCCATCGAAACCTTTTCTATCTTTTCCGAGATCACTGGTAGATTCTTCAGCACATTTTTTTAGACTGATCTTGTAATCCAATGACATACCAAAATGCACATCTTCCCACAAAGAGAAATGATTCGTATTTAAACTTTTCAGTCAATTTAGAGATGATTTTTACAAATATAAGAAGAATATTTAGGTGTCAATTGAAGTTATTCTCTGTAAGATTTGTTGTTGATATTTGATAACTTCCTCAACTAGCCTACTCATAATTTAAGTTGCGGTTGAATTCATGTAAAATTTATCTTATTTCCTTTTTATTTACTACTTTATTGCAACATATAGGGGCCTAGGGGTAATGAGATATACACACTGTTTTAAAAATCGGATCAGACTAGACCGACTAGTCTAACCGATTGGACTGGGAATCGGTCACATGTTTGGTTCGAGTCAACCTCAAAACCGCTATTATACATTGAGCCGCTTTAAATTGGTTGAAAACCAAATAATATCAGTGAACCGTGGTTCACCGGTCCACATTTTAATAATCCCTAATACGCGACGCAGTCACACAACCCTTTCTAATCTTCTTCTCTTTTAGTCTCTCAGTTTTTCTCACGAAAATTTCTTAGAAAACACTCTGATCTCTGCGAAAATTCTCACAGTTTCGCTCTGTCTTTTATTCTCTCTGAAATCCCACCCAAATCACATCTGAACTCTTTGAAATTGACGACGATGTCTTCCTCCCTCGCTAGAAATCGACGGCGACAGTTCCATTCATTGACGACAACTCCATTCCTCGATCCAAGTAATGCCATTCCTTGCTCCCTTTACATTTAAGTTAACACCCTTTACATTTTTCAATCTATAGAGCTGTTGTTGTTGTATTGTAATAATACTATTGTTTACCTTGAGTGAATCTTTGTTCATAAGTTGCTGTTTTTGATCCTTGGCTGTTGCTGGATGTCAATTTTTGGTTACCTTTTTTTCTAGATACTGCCAGTTTTATGAGTTTCCTTTTAAGCAAGATTTGTTCAATACTATTTTTCTTAGAATAAATTTCCTTCACACATTATGTTAGCTGTTAAAATTTGGGTAGTTACTACATTATTCTCAAACAATTGATAGACGTAACAATGCATCCATAGGTTTACGAAAGTAACAAAAGACCCAAATTTTTTTACAAGCATTGATGATAACCATCAGTTTATTGTATACTTATTCTCCTCTCTTAAAACCTATATTTTCGTCATCTCAAATTGATAAGTTTATTAGTTTTATCTTACCCATTTCTTACATGTAAAGGAACTGGTAAAAATAGTACATCTTTTCTTCTTCATTTTTTTTTTTTTTTTTTTTTTGGCTTTATCAGAAACTTGGGTTAAAAATGCCAAGTAAACCTGGTTCATTTCCATCCCATTACCATCATTTCATGAACAAATTTCAAATGATTAGCTACATATCTAACTCCAGTTTCATTCTTAAAATTAGTCTCTCCTGTAGATGTCCTGATTTTCTTAAAATTTTGACGTCATTGACATTATACAATAACATGAGTCAATTCATATATGCATAAAATACCATATGAAAGAACATCTAATCATGCATTCGAACCTCAATTTCCGATAACATGAGTTAATGCATGCATTCTCATGATTTCTGACTCAAAATGTAAAGATAAAAGGTAAAAATAAAATTATACATACAATATGTACCGCATGGTTAAAACTATTAACTCTCATTTTACCTATGAATTGATTAAAACGAATATACCAAAAAGTTTACTTACAGATGATCTTGAAAAAGATTAAAAATTGTTGGTTGCATTTATCTTGAGATTACACAGCAGAGAACTTGCAATTGGTTGAGTGATAATTGTTGTTATTTCTTGTGTGATAGGTAGATAAAGATTAAAAATAGACAATGGCAACATCTGGCTTTGGGTCTTCTTCACAACCTAGTAGAGGTAGGACCGCTATAACATGGGCACATGTTATTGACGGTGTAGATCCAAATGGAAGGAAGACATTAAGATGTCTTCACTGTGGGAAAGTAACTAGAGGAGGAGGTATTTTTAGAATGAAACAACATCTAGCCGGAACAAAGGGGGATGTTGGTGCTTGTAAAAAAGTTCCTTTTGATGTTCAATACTCCATGAGAGAATCACTAAAAGACATTGGGATAAAGAATAAAGAGAAGACTGATTCTAGTAAGTATAATACTCCCTACGGTGCTCCCGTACATGGATTTGAGGGAGATATGTTAAATGAAGATAGTGAAGAGTTTCGTCCATCAGGAATTCACATAAATGAAGGTAGGTTTGGCAAATCAAAAACAAAGTACAATGCTAGACAAATCAAAGAGAAACAAATCTATTTGGGTTGGTGACTATTTTGCTCCAAGGACAATTGGTGGATCTCAACCATCAATTAGGAGTTGTTTAGCTGGAAAAGATGCGACGTGGAGAGCAAACATGGCTTTTGGAAGTTTCTTTTATGATGCTTGCATCCCAATTAATGTTGTAAATTCAATTTATCTTCAGCCTTTGGTGGATGCTATAGCTGCAATTGGGCTTGGGTATAAACACCCAAATTATCATGCTTCGCGTGTCAATTTGTTAAGAAAAGCTAAGAAGGAAGTGCAGCTTCTTGTTGATAGTTACAAAAAGATTTGGGAAAATGTTGGATGCACCTTAATGGCTGATGGTTGGACTGATAATTCACATAGGTCATTGATCGATTTTATGGTGTATTGTCCTAAGGGAGTTTGTTTTGTGAAATTAGTTGATGCTTCAAATGTTGTGAAGGATGCTGAAACATTGTTGAAGATGTTTGAGGAGGTGGCTTTATGGATTGGACCAAATAGTATTGTCCATTTTGTCTCAAACAATGGATCCAATGATAAAGCTGCTGGAAGAATGTTGTCTGAGAAATACCCGAGTATTACTTGGTCATCCTGTGCAACACATAGCATAAACTTGGTATTAAAAGACATAGCTGAGATGGATCACATAGTTTATCTTGTGAGACGTGCTTCTGAGGTGACAAAGTTTATATATAATCATACATTTTTGATAGCTTGGTTAAGGAAAAGACAGGTAATATACCTTTAGCTCATGTTCTTGTCAAGTCATAACATAATATGCATTTTTTATAATTGACTAGCATCTAGTATTTATCAATTGAACAGGGTTGGAAAGAAATTGTTCGTCTAGGTGCAACCCATTTTGCTACAACTTTCATTGCAATGAGAAGCATTCATGAGCATAAACATGACTTGCAAGCCATGGTGACAGAGAGGTCATTTGTCGATTCTCGATATACAAAAAGTAATAAAGGCAAATATGTTATTGACATAATTCTGGATAACGATTTTTGGGATGATATGGGTAAGATATCCAAAGTTGTGAGTCCATTGATGCGCTTGTTGAGGATTGTTGACTCAGATGAGAAGCCAACAATAGGATATGTTTATGATGGCATGTACGGAGCGAAAAATGCAATTAAGAAGTTGTTTAAGAATAAAAAGAGATTATACAAGCCTTATACACGAATCATTAAGTTACGTTGGGATAGGACGTTGCATCATGATATCCATGCTGCGGCTTATTATTTGAATCCTGCCTTTAAATATGACGAAGAATCTTTTTGCCTCAAGCTAGAAGTCATGAGTGCTTTCCTTGATACTATTGACAGTAAATCAAGTGCTTTCAATTTGAACAAGACAAGGTTAATACAAGAGAGTAGATTATATTCAAATCGGGAGGAAAGCCTTTCTAGCTGGCTTGCTCTTGAAACCGCCAAAACCACACGTCTTGGTACGTAATAGTTATAAAATTTATGAGTTCTTTTGTTTTTTAAGTCTAATTTATTTATTATGTTTAATTTTCAGTTAGATGAATGGTGGAGATCATTTGGGTATAGTACTCCAAATTTGCAAAAGTTTGCAATAAAAATTCTTAGTCAAACTTCAAGCTCTTCGGGATGTGAACGAAATTGGAGTGTTTTTGAGTGCATACATACTAAAAAGAGGAATAGATTGGAGCATCAAAGGTTGAATGATCTTGTTTTCTTTCACTATAACTTGCGTTTGCAAAACAGGTATAAAACATTGTCAATTATGCCTCACTCTTACTGTTATTATCTATTATTTTCCTTGATATTTTAGTTGTCATGCTTTTAATATTTTTTTATGGTATTTTAGGAAGTGTTACAAGAGAATAAGTTTGGATCCTATTGATTATGAAAGTATCGACAAAACTGAAGGTTGGATAGTTGACGATGAAGAGGAGGAGGAGGTCAGTGAACTTAATTATGAGGAGTTGGAACAAATGTTATATGGAGAAGGATCTATTCCTACTGGAGTTGCTGATCACCCTTCTTTTTATGATTCAACCGATGGTTCAGAAGGTTGGTTTCAATTATTTAATCAACTTAGTATCTATTTATATTAAATTACAAGTTTTAACTTATGATTTCTATTTTTTACTGAAATTTGCGTAGATGGTGGTGATGGTTATGATGATGATGATGGTGATGAATTTTGATTCTAGTGTGTGAAGCTCAATCAACATTGAGACGAATCAAAGAAAAAACACTTGTATCAAATGTTTTGTTATTAATTATTATGTATTTTGTCATTTGATATGTAAATACAACATCATGTTTGGATTTGGACATTGAATTGTTGTTAAATACTTAAATTATGTTAGGATTGTTGTTGAATTTGAACTTTGAATCATGTTGGATAGTAATTAAGTTGTTATTGTCTTATTGAAAAATATAAATCTAAAAAAAATTTTTTTTTTTTTTAAAATGTGTTGATGTCATCATGATGTGTGATGATGTCACCGGTCCAACCGGCGGTTGGATCGGTTGAACTGTGACCCGGCCATCAGAGTGGGTTGCCCTCCGGTCAGGTTTTTAAAACAATGGATATACGATAGATACTTCATAATGAGATATATCTGATTACTTAAATGATTGTTAAGTGGATGCAATTTTTTAATTGACATGGGAGTTTAAAAGCATTGAATATAAACTTATCTTGCATGGTTTTATAAATTATTGTATAGATACTTGCCCTAAACTCTGATTAATGGCCAAAGAACTACCAAAATTGGAGTGATTAAAGCCCCGAGATTGACTTAAGCATATAATTTTTCAACCATGAATAGGTTGCAGTGTTAAACAATCCAAATAAAATAATAAAAAGAGGAGGCTAGGGTTTCATTGATATTGCACAATTCAATTGAATACAAAAAGTATGATTTAACCTANGGTTCAGAAGGTTGGTTTCAATTATTTAAGCAACTCAGTATCTATTTAAATTAAATTACAAGTTTTAACTTATGATTTCTATTTTTTACTGAAATTTGCGTAGATGGTGGTGATGGTTATGATGATGATGATGGTGATGAATTTTGATTCTAGTGTGTGAAGCTCAATCAACATTGAGACGAATCAAAGAAAAAACACTTGTATCAAATGTTTTGTTATTAATTATTATGTATTTTGTCATTTGATATGTAAATACAACATCATGTTTGGATTTGGACATTGAATTGTTGTTAAATACTTAAATTATGTTAGGATTGTTGTTGAATTTGAACTTTGAATCATATTGGACAGTAATGAAGTTGTTATTGTCTTATTGAAAAATATAAATCTAAAAAAAATTTTTTTTTTTTTTAAAATGTGTTGATGTCATCATGATGTGTGATGATGTCACCGGTCCAACCGGCGGTTGGATCGGTTGAACTGTGACCCGGCCATCAGAGTGGGTTGCCCTCCGGTCAGGTTTTTAAAACAATGGATATACGATAGATACTTCATAATGAGATATATCTGATTACTTAAATGATTGTTAAGTGGATGCAATTTTTTAATTGACATGGGAGTTTAAAAGCATTGAATATAAACTTATCTTGCATGGTTTTATAAATTATTGTATAGATACTTGCCCTAAACTCTGATTAATGGCCAAAGAACTACCAAAATTGGAGTGATTAAAGCCCCGAGATTGACTTAAGCATATAATTTTTCAACCATGAATAGGTTGCAGTGTTAAACAATCCAAATAAAATAATAAAAAGAGGAGGCTAGGGTTTCATTGATATTGCACAATTCAATTGAATACAAAAAGTATGATTTAACCTAAATACAAAGATATATATATAGGCTAAACAAAGGAAATAATGAAAAGATAAATCTACCCTTAATAAGCAATAAAACAAAATAACCCATATTTCTTAACAGCAGCAGACCGAAAGTAGCTTTAAGATTTTCCAAAGAGGCCCCCAAAAATTAAAGATCTTGCTCCTTAATCAGTCCTCATTCTCCGAAGTGCAGATAAATCAGCTAGAGTTATTGCTCTGTTTGCACATGGAGTATTATTTGAATGTTGAAGTTTCAGCATAGTTATTACTTGTTGCCCTGTCCACCCCTTGTGTGGGTTTGGACACAAAATGTGCAATTGTGCATCCTGTCACTTTTCATTTAGAGAAAGTGGGAAAAGTTGTAGAAAAGAGAAAGAGAAAAGGAGAATGGCCTTTTTCCCGACATTAGTAATAAGCCCAAAGGTTTCCACTCACTTACAAGGAATAATGTACACATCCTCTTAAGTCCTTGTGCAACTCCAACATAGCTATTGAAAGCCAACACTTTTCCTTTCTTTGTAGCCTTCGTCTAGATGTGTCAAATAAGTAGTGATACAAATACTCTCTGTTAGTATTAGTTATTGTGCTCTTTGTCATCTTTCATTTTGTCCTTTTTGTTTAGGTAAAGGAGGAAAGAGAGTCAATCCAAAATGTCACGTTTCTCTTGTGGTTTACTTGGCGAGATCCGCTTCCCCTTCTCCAATGGCAACCATCCCAAGTGTGGGTTATTCATGGTAGATGGCTGTGACAAATTAATAAAACTGTACTAGTTGTATCAATATTTTTAAGAATATGTATCATATCGTAACATATATATTAATGCATAGAAAAATTTAGAATATATTTTTTAATACATATTATTGGTGATTTATATCAAACCATATTATATGATACTCTCGTGTATTGTATGATCTGTCCGTCATTCAATCTATTTTTTTTTTTTTTTTCCCCTTTTCTCTGTCAAGTTAGAAAAGCCGCTTAGGTTAGGTATTAAAAGGGGAAGAAAATAAATGAATTTTTATTCAAAAGTTCAATATTTTTATAATAATTGGGACCCATGTTTTCTCTTTCGTAAAAGTTTAAAATAAAAATGTTAAATTTATAAACAAACAAAACTAAATTATTCAATATAATAATAGTAATAAATCTAAAAAAAAAAAAAAAAAAAAAAAAAGCCTTACAAAATGACGTGATAAGGAACAATGAAAACGTGAATAAAAGAAATGATGTGACAAGGAAGGGAAAAAAAAGTGAATATGATAAATTTAAATTTGGTGTCCACATTTTCGTCCCTTTCTGACTATATTTTTGTTACAAATTTTTTTATAAAATTACTTTATCTTCAAATAATGGTATTAAAGTCAATTTATTCAAATCTCTCTCTAAACCTGTGGGGTTCACATAGTATTAAGCCATCTACACTGAGCACGAAGCTTCCCGAAAAGAGATGTTTATATGTGTATTCTCTGTCATCCTCTTTTGCCGCGTTGCTTTCTTTCCAGAGTTCGTCAATTTTGCAGAAATTTTGAAACTTCTTCGCTTTACGAAGCAGAGTCCATCGCTTTCTTTGAAGAAATTACTCCTTTCGAACTTCATCTACTAGTTTATTCGACTGCAAGCAAGTAATCAAACACTCTTTGATTTTTTAAATGTAATTTTATGTTGTTTTTATGGTTTAATTTTAAGAAACTGATGCTTCTGCTTAGGTTTTTGGAGAGTAAAATAGCGAATTTAAATGAGATTAGCAATGCATATGTCTTGATTTAAGTTTAATTTTACAAATGGAATATAATATCAGAATTTGATTACATAAATTTACTTCAATATAGTTACAGAGAAAGGGGCATTCTTAGCGCTCCGTTAAATGCTTCTTCAACTCCGAAGGGAATGATATTATTTCTGTTTCTGTAAAATACTATTTTTTTTTTTTTAAAAAAAACGAAATTAAAGTTAACTAGATCTATCCTCTCCTGGCGTATTTTTCAGAGTGTGTGAGAGCACATCCCTAAACTCCTAAGAGTCTCTCTTCAAGAAAAGTACTGTCGTTTCTTCATCCTCTTCTCAAAGAAAATATTTCAAGAGTTCATTACTCTATCCTTAAACTCAAAAAAGAACAACAATGGCTTCTTCTTCCTTTGATTCTTTTCAAGTAAACCATCACATTTTCCTTAGTTCAGAGGTAAGGACACCCGCAACAATTTTACTAGCCATTTCCATGCAGCTTTGTGTCGGAGAGGGCTTGATGTTTTCATGGATGACAAACTCAAGAGAGGAGATGAAATTTATATATTATGATGTAATTCAAGGATCGAAGATATCAGTTATCATTTTTCAGAAAAATTTGCTTCTTCTAGTTGGTGTCTCGAAGAACTTGCAGAGATCGTGAGTGCAGAAGAAATATGGTCAGTTGTATACCAATATTCTATCACGTAGACCATCAGCTGTGAGGCATCAGACTGGGAATTTCGGGAAGTTTACTAATCATGAAGAACACTTTAAGATAAGATGCACAATGGAGGACTGCTCTGAAGGAACAGCCAATCTATCTGGTTGGCATTTTGATGGAACTAAGTAAGTTTACCTGCACCGAATAATGGTTATCACATAGTACTATTTGGTAAATCATATCAATTAATTATGCTATTAACGTTTTAGCCCATAACATTCAAGGGATAAACTTTATGGAGAAATTTTCACATGTTCAAGGATTGAATAAGCTACATATTGGAATTCAATTTCTGATTATTACCCTACCTTAATTTATTTGTTCTAATGTTTTTGTTAAAGGTCTGATCTACATACTAATGGAGAAAATTATTGAAGATATTTTGAAGAGATTGAATGGGTATGTTCACAAAATGATTCAAGGACTTCGTTGGAATGAATCAATGATCAAAGAAATTGAATCTTTATTTGGACTGGGATCAATGATGTTGCAGTGTAGGAATTTGGGGCAGGGTGGTATAGGTAAGACAAACTATTGCCAGTACTATAATAACGAAATCTCGAGTCAGTTTGAAAGTTTTTACTTTGCTCAAAATGTTAGGGAAGAATCTGAAAAGCCTAACGGACTAAGGGACCTGCATAAAGAACTTCTTTCAAACTATATTAGAGGATGAGAATGTTTGCCGCGGTGCTACTAGGCAAATCCATTCATACTAAACAGGCTACGCAATAAGAAAGTTTTATTGTTTTGATGACGTGATTTCTCCCAACAAATAAAAGTATTAATCGGAGATCTTAAATGTTTGGTTTTGGTGCCAGAGTCATCATAACAACTAGAGATAAACACGTGCTTGAAAATTGTAAAGTTGATCAAATATATCTGTTATGGGATTATCTGATAATCATGCTCTTCAATTTTTGTCAATGTGCCTTCAATCAAGAAGATCCCTTGATAGATTATACAGAATTGTCAAACAGGGCGGTAAGATGTGCCAAAGGTGTTCCATTAGCTTCCTAGTCTTGGGTCTACAATCTCCAAAATAGGCAAGGACAGTTTTGGGAAAGTGCATTGGGTGAATTAGAAGTCTCTCCTCATATGGATATCCAAAAAGTACTAAGATATAGTTATGATGGGTGAATGATACACAGAAAGAATCGTTTCTAAACATTGCATGTTTCTTAAGGATGGAATGAATGTGGAGTAATGGAAATATTGGATTCTTGGACTTGCATGCACAACATGGAATAAGTGTTCTTAGTGATAAGGCTCTTATAATTATATCAAATAACATCCTACATGCATGATTACTTCAAGCAATGGGTAGGGAAATTGTGAAGCAAGAATCCTTCTCAACCTGAAAAACGCAGTCGATTGTGGCATTCTAGTGATATCTACCGTGTATTAACATGTAATATGGTGAGACTAAAGGAATGCATATAACTTTCACTTTTCATTTCATATTCATGAAATCTATATATTATATATATAATGTGTTAACTATGTTTGATTTCGATTGCTAGGGAACGAAAAAAATACGATACCTATGCTTGGACATGTCTATTATAAGAGAGATAAACTTGGCTCCTTGTGCTTTCTCAAATATGCACAATTTGAAATCTTGATGTGGTATAATTCAAACAAAGAGATGAATAGTAAGGTGCATGGTTTTCATTGCCTTAAATCGAATTTTAGAGAGGTAAAGTACCTCTGTTGGCATGAATACCCTGAGAGGTCTTGCCATCAAAGATTCATCCAGAGTGCCTTGTTGTACTCAAATGCTCCATAGCAACCTTGAACAACTTTGGACTGGTGTCAAGGTATGTGTTCTTAATTTGACAATGTTAAGTTTTGTAAATTTATATGCATTTTCATCTTTTTTTTTTTTTTTTTTTAACAACAGAATCTCGCAATTTGAAGTGTATAGACCTCAGCTTCTCCAGTCAATACTCAAAATCCCAGACCTTCTCATGCCCAAAACTTGAGAGCTTGATTCTAGAAGACTGCAAAAGTTGTTAGAGATCACTCACCATCTATCAGAATGTCAATTCGCTTGTTATCTGAATCTAAGAAATTGCAAAAGCCTCATCAGGCTTCCTTTGGAATTCAATCAAAATCTCTTAGATTTATTATTCTCTCTGGATGCTCAAATCTCATGACGGCTCCAAGGATTACCGTAATATGGAGCAGTTGTGTTTGGATGGAACTGCAATTGAAGAGTTTTCGTCTTTGATCGAATATCCTCCTAAACTAGTTGAATTGAATCTTGAGAACTGTTCAAAGCTTAAGTGTCTTCCAACAACTTTTGTGAGTTGAATCTCTTCGACATGTCGTTCTCCGGGGGTGTTCAAATCTCAAGACTATTTCAGAGCTGCCATGTGAAATAAAAGAACTAGATTAGATGAAACGGCAATAAAAGAATTAGTTCCCTCGTCAATGAATATCTATCTAGTCTGTCGGTTAAGTCTTAGAAATTGTTCAAGCCTTGAGAGTCTTCCAGTCGGTATTTGTAAGTTGAAGTATCTTAAATATCTTGTTATCTCTGGTTGTTCAAAACTTGACAGATTGCCCGAAGACTTTGCAAAGTTACAAAGTTTGGAGGTTTAGAGCTGATGAAATTCCGTAAAAGATGTGTCATCAGTTCTTTTTTTAACCAAACTTCGTAGTTATCTTTCGAGAAATGTAAGAGTCGAGAGTGGTGGGTTCGCTATTACCTACTGATTGCCAGCGGCGCAGTGTTTATGGAGTTTAAATTTAAGTCATTGCAATATCACAGAGTTGCCACACAGCCTTGGGCTGTTATCATTGTTAGAAAAATTGAAGTTAGTTGGGAACAATTTGAGAGCCTACCAACAAGCATCATAAACCTTTCTGAATTGTTGTTGCTTGATTAAGCGATTGAAACAAGCTTCAGTTCTACCTGAGCTCCACTTAATATAAAATCTCTAGTAGCACATAATTGCACATCGTTGCAAGCGTTACCATGTTTACCAAATAGTGCAGGAAGGAGAGGGTTCATAATTGTCTAAATTTGGGTTCGAATTCATCCAGCGACGAAGCTGTCAGGTTCACAATTTACTGTCGGCACATATATGGGTCCTTTTCTCTCTCTCTCTCTCTCCATTTTATATGATTTCACATCTTTCTAAACTGACATTAAACTAACTATTTTTGGTACAGGATGCCAGCCGTTTGAGGAGTTCATTTATTCTGGAAATGAAATTCCCAAGGGTTTAGCTTTCAAAGTAATGGATTTCTTATAGAGCTACCACGAGGTTTATTTAATGATGCTATCGTTTTGCCTTTGCACCATTTTAGAATTCAAGATTACCATTATAACAACGAAGACTTGGTGTTAAATATGAGTTGTGGCCGGCGGATTCTTTTGGGCTTTCATTTGTCCTCCATTGCTTGAAGGATTTTTTTGGCTTGGGAGAAGGAAGTGGACCCAATTATTTGGGTTTTTTTTTTATATGACAGGGAAAACCGCCCTTGTTGTTATTAAAACTATATAATATATTTTTTAATACGAAAAATTTTATGTACGGACTTTATTTAATATTAATTTTTGTTGGCCTAACGGACAAAACGCCGTGGTACCTAAAAGGTTTACGCATCATATGTTGTTGAAGGATCGACAAAATCAGATAAAGACCTATTTCTGAGTTGACAGTGACACACAGAAGTTCGTAGAGAGTTCCCCGGTGGTTTTCGAAGCGCAAGGAGTAATTGTGTACTATGGTGCTTTGAGTTAATTATGCGGGATAAAACTGGATATACGGCACAATGGTGTAATTTTTACAATCAAAGTAAGCATCGTCATGGACCAAATATAGGATTGCACGATTAAAAAGTGTGGGAGGGTCCAACTTCTATTCCCGGCATAAGCTAAAAGTCGTGAAAGAATCCAGAAGATGTTTCATCTATGATGATGAGGAAATTCATAAGGAATTAAAGTCCAAGATATTGGAATTTGAGAATTCCACTAATGGCGAATCCAGTTTAAGGTAATTCTCAACTTTTAGTTTTATTTTACACAACAACTCTACAATATATTTTCTTTTCCTTGTTTTAAAAAAAAATAAAAATAAAAATAAAAATTCTGAATGATTTTATTTTAAATTGGAGTGCAACATCATTTATATGTTCAGATGACTTCGGTAATTCACGACTAATAATAAAAATATAATAAGTCAATAAAATTTACACTAACTCTAATTCTTCATGAAGATATTGTTTTTATGTTGCCTTTTAATTGAAATAAAAGGATATATTAGAAGAATATATTGAGTATTTCTACCATGGTTATTAGTATCTTACGATACGTGATACATATCTTATTATACGAGTCGTCAATGATATGTATCAGAGAGTGTATCATAAACATTTCGATACATTGATATGTATTTTACAATACAAATTGATATGATTTTATTAAATTTTGTGCTCTATTAAAGTATAAACAGTTAATATACCTGATTTATGTGATGCAGAAATGTGGGTTTAGGTTATATTTTAACATTCAACCAATATCGCATTTTATCTTCTACCTTAATTAATTGATATTGTTTTTTTCAATAAAATTAACAAAGAATTCAAGTAGTTATATATTCAAACTATTATTAATTAAAATTAAGAAAAATTATTATAGTAGCCAATGATAGGAGTCATTTGCCAGTGACAATTACTGGTAACCTTGAGAGAGCGTTTGATTCAGGGAATGGTGGATTGCTGAAAAGTTAGATTACCTTGAAGATTACTAGGAATCTTTAGGAAAATATGTTTGGTTAATTGGTGGGCATATTATATTAATATATTTGGTTGGGAGGAATAAATTGGTGGATATATTATTTAAATTACTGAATTTTCTTCTAATTAAATATTATTATTATTATATTATTTTTTAAAATTGATTATTATAACCTTCCTGCATTTAAAAACTTAGCAAAAACAACCTTATAATAAAAGTTTGGAAAATCAACAAAGCACCCCCACCAACCTAGCCACTGCTGGCCGCTGGCAACCACCGTAGGACGTCGGTAGCCACCAACCTAATTGCGCACGGAAGGTAGGAAATGACATTTATGCGTCGTATGGCCATTTTCGGGTAGTCAATAGCCAGATTGATGGCCAGATTGACATATTTGGCCTTTGACGATCATATTAGATTTGGCCGTCAACGACCAGATTTGGCACGATATGGCCATTTTTGGCCGAAAATGGTCATATCGGCACACGGCGACCATTTTCGACCTTCCATGCACCGTTCTGGTGGCGGCTGTGGCTGGCTGCGGGTAGGGGTGGTGGCTTGGGTGGATTGTAATTTGTTTTGAATTCAAGGGTAATTTTGTCCAAAAAGTTAATTAATTTGGGTGAAATAGTAAAAGTCATATTCATGTAAATAAATTAAAAAATAAGGTATTATTGTCCTAAAATTTTATTAATAAAGGACAAAATTATAACAAAAAAATGATTACCCTGATAATTTTAGAATACCTAAATTGAGGTAATCAGATTACCTCTAATAGTAATTATTATTAGTATTTAAAGATTACCAAAATCTTATATTACTCAACAACTAAACATGGTAGTCAAATAATATAAGATGATATAACTCCAGTAATCTCACATTACCTTGAACCAAATGCCCCTTGAAGTGCACCAACAATGTCAAACAAAAGGGAAGAAGACGTACAAAGTTAAGAGTGGTAGTGTAACTTAAATCTGCTTCGCCAAACTATGCTACGTAATGACAAGGATTTGCAACCTTTAAAACAAAAAAATATGTAATTGGTAGCAGATAAGCTTCTTTTTAGTCCTAAAATATTTATAAATATAATAAAGTAACATGTTGTTTGTTAAATTGCCTTCTTCAAAATCAGATTGGCTAACATAATCCAATGTTTATTTCAAGATACACATGAATTGCATTGGTTATTTATTTCTTATATTCTTTGATCATGATGTTTGATATGTTTTTGTTTCTTCGTTTTGGTATCAATTTGGATGCGGAAAAGAGTAAATGAGAAAGAAGTGGAAGAGTTCAATCTGAGTAGAAATGAATCCAGAAGCTTTGCTCTTTTTGATTTGAATGAATTCCCTCGAGATTTTTTAGGGATGAGATTTCCTTGAAACGTGTGAAAGGGTATCACCAGTGCGGTACAAACCAGATTCCTTCCCATACTTTTAAGGTTAAGAGTGTCTCTGGGCTGCCTGTTGGCTTCAGATACCTTGCATGCTCCATATCGGTTTATTCTCAGCGTGTATGCATATGGCGCTTAATTTCTTCACACAAAATATATACTTGTATTACCATACTTAAGCTTACCAGGACATTTTTTCTTTAAATATCCCTTTACTATCTTAAGCTATATTAATTATTAAGCTCATCTACATCCACGTTATATGAAATTAAGATATAACTAATTGTCTTGTAAAATGGTCTTGTGTTGAGTTTTAGTCTCCCCATCAGCAAGATCTAAGCTCTTTTGTTTGTGGTATTTGTAAAACTTACGTTACTCATGTAACGTAAATAACGTTTTGATTTTCATCAGTTTTAAAGTTGATGATCCACGTTTGTTGTTCAATTTTCAAATGCTTTAGTTTTCAAACGTTTGGGATTTATGGCAACCATTAAGCATGCCATTAAGAGCTTGATGGAAGCTTGACTATGTATATTATTTTGGTCCCTAAGCTCAAGAACTCGATTATATACTAAATTATACACCATCAATATTAGAGTGTCTTGAGAGCTTAGAAGAGCTAAAATACAGCTGCGTGAGTTTGTTTCAATGGCCGGAGGTAATTCTTGATTCTTGGTTTATAGTTTAAGAATATTATATTCTGTGTATTTTTGTTTGGATTACAGATAAATTTCTTACAGTTGGTATCAGAGTCATATAATATCTCTGCCTTGATGTTTTGCAAAAGAATTTTTTGAAGCTCTCTGTTCATGGTCGTTTGAAATATTTTTTAAATCAAAGTTTGTTTTTTACTTGTTTTTTAATGAAAATAAATATTATAAATCATTAGGAAATTGGATTTCTATCATTTCTGGGCTTTGAAACAATTGTTTTGGAGTTTAAATAGTGAATTTCCACCCGGGTTTGGCTATTGGATCGTTTTCAGGTCGGGTATCTAATTACAGATCCACTCAAAGGTTGAAGACGACTAGAGATGACATGTCATTTTTCCTTCAGTTTTGAAACCGACATGTCATTTTCTTATCAATTAAAAAAAAAAAAAATTTAGATCTGGCACTATGGACTTGAACTCGTGATCTCATGTAAAGAGATGTGCTACTGGCCCAAACAGGCCACTTTACGTTTTTGTCATGACCTTGGTAAAATAGAATTTATACTATTTCTAATTTTGCTCATTTTAATTATGCCTATTATATTAATTTTGGTTTAATTATATGCATTTTTTGGATAAGTTAAATTGTGCAGAATCCTAAATTAATTATGCTCATATTTATCTTTCATGAATTGATTTTATCTTTCTACATGCAATTTTTGAATGAGTATATATGGATAAAGGCATAATATTAAATGTTATGCATATTATTATAGTTTTCATTATGCAATATTTTTATGTTTATGAGAATATTTTGTGCATAATAATAAAATATTAGTATTTGATTATGTAATTCGTAATATTAAGCTAGTCTTTATAGGATTTACTGTCTAGTGATCCATATAATTTTAATTAATTAGAGAATAGCCACAACCTCTTTAATTAAATAAAATTATATATTATGATTAATTAGGATTACATAAAGAATATTAGACATTAATTGTAATTAATTATACTTAATATAATAAATTTTTCCCACAGGAATTTTTATTATATTTATATTATTAATTAGGATAAAATATCAAGTTATTCATAATTTACTCACAGGAATTATGAATTTAGTAAATAATTTGATAGTTTTCTCATAAAGTTTAATCATAAAGAATAAATGAATCTACTTGAATTAGAAATTTAGCCCACTGGCAATTTTTATGTCATTAGATTCAATTTTTTTTAAGCATGATTTACATTGGTAAAGTATGATATTTTATTTAGGCCTCAGTTTTAACATAAACATGTAATCTATAATTTTATGCAGTCGTACAACCTGCAAATTTCTCTAATATTCGTTTTGATATCCCTGAACTTAAGGGAGATAACTATAAGGTCTGGAAGGAGAGAGTTCTTCTTAATTTGGGGTGGATGGACATAGACTATGCTATTAGGAAAGACGAACCACTAGCACTCACTGATACTAGTACTGCAGCGGACATCACGCTTTATGAACGATGGGAGCAATCTAATCGTCTCAACGTGATGTTCATTAAGACTAGAATCTCTACTAGTATCCGTGGTTCTATTGATCAGCATGAAAAGGTCAAAGACTTGCTAAAAGCCATTGATGATCAATTTGTCACTTCAGACAAGGCACTAGCAAGCACCTTGATCATGAAGCTCTCATCCGTAAGGCTTATCGATGTGAGAGGTGTGCGCGAGCACATTATGCAAATAAGGGATATTGTGGCTCAATTGAAGAATCTCGAGGTTGAAATGTCAAATTCCTTCATGGTGCACTACATCTTGAACACCCTTCCGCATAGATATGGACCCTTCAAAATCTCATACAACGTACACATAAGGATAAATGGTCAATTAATGAACTTATGACCATGCGTGTTCAAGAGGAAGGGAGACTGGTGATGGAACATAGAGAAAGTGCAATCCTCGCAACGCATGGAAAGGGAAAATATCAAGCCAATAAGAAATGGAAAGGTAAAATGCCTCTCCAAGGTGGTATTAAGAAAGATTCCAAGTGTTTCTTCTGTAAAAAGAAGGGACACATGAAGAAGGAATGCGCCAAATTTCAGAAATGGCTTGCGGACAAAGGTAATCCAACCTCATTTGTTTGTTATGAATCTAATATGGTTAATGTCAATATTAACACATGGTGGATTGATTCTGGATCAACAATCCACATTTCAAATTCCTTGCAGGGTTTGCAAAACCTACGGAAGCTAGTGGGAAGTGAGCGAAGCATCTTATCAAGAAACAAGATGGGCTCGCATGTGGAAGCTGTAGGAACTTGCTATTTAATTTTAAGTAGTGGCTTTATTTTAATGTTAGAAAAGACCTTTTATGTTCCAAGTTTTTCTAGAAACTTGATTTCAGTTTCAAGGCTTGTACCCTTTGGATATTCCTTTAATTTTTCATATTCATCTTTCAACTTATTTTATAAATCTGATTGTGTTGGGAATGGTACTTTGTCTGATGGTCTTTACGGCATTAATTTATAAACCAATGCCACTTATGATTCAATGCATGTTTACACTGGCGCTAAAAGATGTGTTATTAATGAGGACTCCTCTAAATTATGGCACCGGAGATTATGACATATCTCCATAGATAGAATTAAAAGATTAGTAAATGAAGGAGTACTTAATACTCTGGATTTTACTGATTTTGAGACTTGTGTGGACTGCATAAAGGGAAAGCAGACCAACAAGTCAAAGAAAGGTGCCAATAGGAGTTCGGACATATTAGAGATCATACATACTGATATATGTAGTCCAGACATGGACTCACATGGTCAGAAATACTTCATCTCTTTTATAGATGATTACTCACGATATATGTATCTCTACCTGCTTCATAACAAGTACGAAGCATTAGATGCCTTTAAAATCTTTAAGGCTAAAATAGAAAAACAATGTGGTAAGCAAATTAAGATCGTAAGATCAGATAGAGGTGGATAATATTATGGTAGATACACAGAGGATGGACAAGCACCTGGACCATTTGCAAAGTTTCTTCAAGATCATGGGATTGTTGCCCAATACATCATGCCTGGTTCACCGGACCAGAATGGTGTAGCAGAAAGAAGAAATCAAACATTGTTGGACATGGTGCGGAGTATGCTTAGCAGCTCCAATCTTCCTAAATCCTTGTGGGCTGAAGCACTTAAGACGGCAGTGTATATATTGAACTGAGTTCCAACCAAGGCTGTTCCTAAAACGCCATTTGAATTATGGAAAGGTTGGAAACCGAGTTTGCGACATATGCACGTTTGGGGATGCCCGTCTGAGGTGAGAATTTATAATCCACATGAGAAGAAGTTGGACCCAAGGACCATTACTGGGTATTTCATTGGATATGCTGAAAGGTCTAAAGGTTACAGATTTTATTGTCCATCTCACAACACTAGGATTGTGGAATCAATAAATGCAAAGTTTCTTGAAAATGACTTGATCAGTGGGAGCGATCAAACCAGGAACATAGTTTCTGAGAATGATCATTCAGAATCTCAACCTTCCATCTCAAGTGATAAATTGGTTATTGTTTATAGCACCCCTCAAGTACAAACTTGTGTTGAATAACCAATCATTGAAGTTCCACAAGCTGCTAACAACATTCCAGTAGATCAAGTAGTTCAAGAGTTGCCAAGAACTTTTGAACAACGAGTTGAACCACATACTTCTCCGGAATATAATGGTACAACATTAAGAAGATCTACTAGACTAAGGAGATCAGCAATTCCTAATGATTATGTTGTGTATCTGCAAGAATTTGACTATAACATTGGAGCCGAAAATGATCCCGAGTTTTTTTCACAAGCTATGAGTTGCAAAGAATCAGAATTATGGTACAGTGCCGTGAAGGAAGAGATGAATTCTATTAAGAGTAACCGAGTTTGGGATCTTGTTGAGTTGCCCAATGGTGTAAAAGCCATTGGATGTAAATGGGTCTTTAAGACAAAGAAGGACTCATTGGACAACATTGAGAGATACAAGGCAAGACTCGTTGCTAAGGGATTCACTCAGAAAGAAGGAATCGATATTCTTTGCGTGTGATTTTGGCATTAGTAGCCCATTTTGACTTAGAGTTGCAACAAATGGATATGAAAACGGCGTTTCTCAACGGAGACTTAAAGGAGGAGGTTTATATGAAACAACCTGAAGTATTTTCCTCTAGTGTTGGTGAGCACTTGGTTTGTAAGCTCAAGAAATCTATATACGATCTAAAACAAGCATCTTGCCTATGGTATTTTAAATTCCATGGGGTAATTACTTCATTCGGTTTTGTTGAAAACCCCATGGATCAATGTATATACCAGAAGGTTAGTGGGAGTAAGATATGCTTTCTTATTATGTAGATGATATGTTGCTTGCAACCAATGATAAGTGTTTGCTGCAAGCCTGCATGAGGTGAAACAATTCCTCTCTAAGAATTTTGATATGAAGGATATGGGTGATGCATCTTATGTCATTGGCATTAAGATCCATAGAGACAGATTTCGAGGTATTTTGGGTCTGTCTCAAGAAACCTATATCAACAAGGTTTTAGAGAGATTTCGAATGAAAGGTTGTTCACCAAGTGTGGCTCCCGTTGTGAAGGGTGATAAGTTCAATTTGAACCAATGCCTAAAGAACGATTTTGAAAGGGAACAAATGAAGAACATTCCATATACTTTTGCTATCGGAAGCCTGATGTATACTCAGGTCTGTACAAGACCTGACATTGCATTTATTGTTGGAATGTGGGGACGATATCAAAGTAATCCAGGTTTAGACCACGGGAGAGCTACAAAGAAAGTGATGAGGTACCTTCAAGGAACCAAAAACTACATGCTTATGTATAGACGGACGGACAATCTAGAAGTAATTGGTTATTCAGATTCAGACTTTGCTGGCTGTGTTGATTCACGCAAATCAACATCAGGATATGTTTTCATAATGGCTGGTGGAGCTGTATCTTGGAGAAGTGTAAAGCAGTCCTTGACTACTACTTCCACTATGGAAGCTGAGTTCGTTTCTTGTTTTGAGGCTACTTCACATGGTGTATGGTTAAAGAGTTTCATAGCTGGACTTAAAATTATGGATTCCATTTCTAAACCATTGAGAATATACTGCGATAATTCAGCTGCTGTCTTTATGGCTAAGAACAATAAAAGTCGAAGTCGAAGTAAACACATTGAGATTAAGTACTTAGCCATAAGAGAGCGTATTAAGGAAAAGAAAGTGGTCATTGAGCACATAAGTACTGAATTGATGATCGCTGATCCTTTGACCAAAGGCATGCCACCATTGAAATTCAAGGATCATGTAGAAGAAATGGGATTTCATTCCACTATGTAGTTGTATATATAATGTTTGAATAAAACTCTTATTTACTGTGATGTTTTCTCATATTCATGTGCATCTTAATTTCTTTTGAGAAAATTCCTCTATAGGACCAAGAATAAACATAGGGTTTATTCATTAAGTAAGGTTGTCATATATAAATTAAACTTGAGAAATCAAATGCATTGTAATACATGGAAGATAATACTCGTTTTATTTTGAGGACTTGTCGCCATGATTCGTGTATTTGTTTCTTAATGAAATACTGGTTAAAAATGTGGACCAAGTGGGAGAATGTAAAACTTACGTTACTCATGTAACGTAAATAACGTTTTGATTTTCATCAATTTTAAAGTTGATGGTCCACGTTTGTTGTTCAGTTTTCAAATGCTTCAGTTTTCAAACGTTTGGGATTTATGGCAACCATTAAGCATGCCATTAAGAGCTTGATGGAAGCTTGGCTATATATATTATTTTGGTCCCTAAGCTCAAGAACTCGATTATATACTAAATTATACACCATTAATATTAGAGTGTCTTGAGAGCTTAGAAGAGCCAAAATACAGCTGCGTGAGTTTGTTTCAATGGCTGGAGGTAATTCTTGATTCCTGGTTTATAGTTTAAGAATATTATATTCTTTATATTTCTGTTTAGATTACAGATAAATTTCTTACAGTATTTACTTTCATGTAGAAGCTCACATTGTATTGCTTATTTCCTAAAGCATTTGCAATATAGCTAGGTATTTGAAGACATTCAGTGTTACAAAATTTTTCCTCTCAGCTATCCCATATTCATTAACAATCGTTCAACTATATGTTTTGTGTATGCGCTTTTCAGTGGTATTTCTTGGCTAGCATGAATTGCTCCCTTGATTTCATATCTTAAATGAAGCCCTCAACTCTCACAACACCTGATTCACTGCTTTTGTATTTGCTTAATTACAAACCTCATTGTGAAGTTTTTAGGTTATTTTAACCAATAATATTATACTTACAAAGAAATCTTACAAAGATTTTCATATAAAGTGAGGTGGCAAAAAATGAATAGAAGAGTGAAACAAAAAGTCAAACTCATTAAATTTACTCTTCCATTTATTTTTTGTCACATCATTTTGTATGGAGATCTTTGTTAAATTTCTTTGTAAGTGTAGTATTACTCTATTTTAACACTACACTTTTTTTCCTTTTGTTGTTATTGACAGAAGAGAGAAGAGGTTCATGCTCTATGCCAAAAGCTTAATTTGTGAGTGGAGTCAGTACAAACATCTTGCAAGCACGAGCTTCCACATTGGTAGTCAATTTCCCTTGAAATTTTGTTGCAAGAGTAGTATGCTGAAATTGGAAAACGACATGTTCCCACCTTAGGTTTAGAGAAATCCCAACTTGGTGCTCTAGTTGCATTTATTTTATATTCCCACTCTTAATCGAACTTCGTTTACTTTATTTTAACAATTGAAGGGTAAAAACGTCAAATTACCCCACATCTCAAATTTCTATCAACTAATGCCCATTGCCGGTGTCGCTTGTTTTCCGTGGATCTCGGCCAGATTTCTCACCCAAACTGATGGAAATCATCACCCTAAGCCCAATTCCTTTGCCCCAGCAAATAGGTTTGTGTTCGCATGATTGGTTGGGGTAAATGGTCGAACAATTGGTGGGCGTTGTGTCAGGGGTAAGTGAGTGATGTCCGGTGATCGAGAAAATGGCCAAGGGGGTTTGTACAATCAAGCCATAACACAACAAACTCCAAATCAAACCAAAATCCAATCAAATCGAAGCCAAAACAACTAAAAAAACAACCCATACGCGAAGGTAGGTGGTTCTAACACGGACGTCGATCGGTGAGTTGCTAGGAGGTGGGGTTGGGTGTTGAAGAGAAGGCATCGGTGATGCCAGAAGTGGTGGCAATGGGAGTTTAGGTTGCCAGAATCGGCCAGAATTTGGTTGAGAAATCCGAAACCCTAACGTAACGGCAATCGGCGATCGGTAAGAGGAAACAAGCAAGAACTTTGGGGGATTGGTCAATGGATGGTGGGAATGCCGATGGTGGGGTCAGGAAAGGTCAACGACGACGAGAACGGCCCAAATCGGGCCTAAGTTGTGGATCGTGGGATCAGAAATTCGCGAAAAAACAGGCGAAATCCGACTATAAATCGGTCGTTCAGGTTAGGGGGAAAGGAATTAGGCTTGGGGTGATGATTTCTGTCCGTTTGGGTGAAAAATCCGACTAGGATCCATGGGCAGAGCCGGCAATGGGCGTGAGTTCAAAGAAATTTGAGATGAGTGGTACTTTGATGCTTTTACTGTTCAATTGTTAAAATAAAATAAACGGAGTTAGATTAAGGGTAGAAATCTGGAATAAATACAACTAGATACCATGTTGGAATTTCGCTAAACCTCGGGTGGGAACATGTCGTTTGCTTATAAAAGTATAACAAAACATGTTGCAGGCTGCAAACACGTACCTTCTGTAATATTTGGAGCTAGAAATTATTCTAGTGTGTGAATAGATTATGAATATAAGAAAATAAAAACACCCCCCAAAAATAAAGTCGTTGACGATGGCCAAAATCTGGCCGTCGTCAATGACTAAATAGATCTGGTCGAAAATGACAAAATCGACGCATGATTGACCAGTCGTGCGTCATTCTGACGCCGATGGTGGTTGTTGACGACTGGGAGTGGTTTGGGTGGGTGAGAGTATTTTTATTAATTTATAAACTTTTATTGTGAAATATAATTGTTTTTAGTTGAATAGAGTTGAAAAACTTTGGAATAGGATAATAAAAAAAAAGTCCCACCCACCTTTATTTTCAATATAAAATATCTTATTTGATTCGGATTGATTTTTAAAATAATGATCTCAATAAATAAATAAACGCATATTCTGTTTTTTAATCCAAATAAGATAATAGAAAAAATGAAAAATGATTTGACCGAGTGAAACAAATAAGGTCGGACAGATAAGATTTTAATTTTTAACTCGCACAAAGTTAGAATATACTGAAAGTAACCGTGCCTAAAATCATCAATACATGTTATACTTGAACAAATTATTAGCATTTCAATAAATATGGTATTCAGGAAGCATTAATTACCCACTCCTGTTTAAAGTCATCTAATGAATGGCACATTGCCTCATAAAAGTTTGTACAAAATTTTATAGAACAAATTCCCCCGTAGCCTCGTGTTTGGGTTAACTACAGTTTAAAGGCAGACTTTGTTTCACAAAGCCTCCTTAAGACGGAAGGTCCTAGCTATGTTCCTTGCATTGTCATACTCATTGAGCTCAACCAACATTTTCTTCAATCGACGAGCAAGTCCGCCTGTCTCATTCTCAGTCACACCAGCCAAATGCTTCTTCTCTAGAGTCTTTCCTAATGATAGCATGTAATCAACCAATGGTTGCAACTTACGGCTGCGGCTTCCAGTGACGCTTGAACCAGACCAGACCCCAGATAAAGAAGCAACAATTTTTTCGGTTCTCATGATTGCATCATGAACATTTGATGTGATGCTTCGAACATGTGGCAATACTTTTCTACACAAAAGCTCATCAAGGACAAGCTCTTCTAGAATTGGCAATGCCAGGATTTCTTTCCACAAGCAGATATTTCTCATCAAACGAACAGACATCCCAAATCGGTATGCTGCAATCCGTGCTGCATTGGGAACAGCATTCATTAAAAGAGGGCTCCATGCAGGGACTGTAAGGTTAGAAACAGCTTCAGCCAGGCGGGTACGAATAGCAAGTAGTAAATCCGCTAGTGCCTCACTGGAAGTAGGAACATAGGCGACAACCAAGCTTGTAGCAGAAACAGCATTCTTTGTTTCTCTTGTACTAAGCATGTCCCAGCAATGAGCAATTTCGTGGTGCAGAATTGGAAGTGCAACCTTTTCCACCAGCGTAGGAACCAGGTTAGCATCAGCATCATCCAGGGCAAAATCTCTCCCATCTTCTGGCAAACCATAACTGAATAGTAAAGAATGCCATTTCATATCAGAGAAATCAGCATCCTCATGTAGTGGGTCCCACTTTAAGAGCTCCAACCTTACAAATGGAGACAAAATAGTAGGAGCACTTAGGGACATGTAAGCATCACGATAGCTCGATGAATACTCTCTCTTCCATTTTTCAAACCTTTCTTTAACCAATGAAAGTTGGGAATATTCCTCAGATGCATCACTGAAAATCTCATCAGCATGCTGGAGCACCAATTCACGGTTTGACTGGTATGCAGAACTCTCACTATCACTTTCATCAGTACTAGATTCTCCTTCCATTTTCTGATTGGAACTGTCAATATCCATGGATGACAAGCGCTTTGACTCAAATCGAGCTCTCCTACGTTGGCGTGCTTCAGCCCTCCGTGTCATATCCATCCGTTTCTTTAGGTTCATATCTCTACCAAATTCATCTAACTTCACTGGCAAATTTGTTTGTTCTCTAATGGCAGAAGATGCCGCCTGAGCTGCACTTTTGGCAGCTGCAATCATTGCAGCATTGTTGCCACGTTCGTTGAATACTGCCATAGCTGCTTTCACAGCTGCTTCTACCTCAATCATTTCATCATCATTGTCGGTAGCCCTTCTCTCCAATAAGGTGGATGCACGTTCTTCATGGAGCTTTTGCATCTGCGCTTCAAGTTCCTCTATGTAAGGAGCTTTATGCTGAAAGCAGAAGAATATTACAAAACACTTATAAGTACACGTTCAGGTTCACACGAAAAAGCAACAAGCAAAAAGAAGCACAGGTTAATACAACAAAAGCAACAAAAAGAACAGAAAACTAAGTAATTCCTGATAATTGATGACATGCCCAAGAACGAATTGAATTAGAAAAATTAATAAGCAATACAACAAGCAAACATCAGTTTTCTTATCTCAAAGAGATACTGGCAGATATGAGTTCAATTTGAAGGTGTCCAACTAATACGAAAGCCCGGTGGGATTTTATACTCTTCCCATCAACATAAATTGTTGAGAGTGAAATTCATTGATCTGTTTTCTAAGAGAATCTCAATCGTGGCCTGGAAGCAAGCATTGTCAGAGTGTGCATGAAGGGGACCTTTTTATCTTAGAATATCACTAGACTATTTAGGCAGTTCACAAATCATTAACAAGATCTTGCTTCTAGATGTTTCGCTATGATGAAACTAGAAAGCAATTAGATGAACTAATAAAGGGAAGAACAAAAGGCACTGAGCAATAAAGAAACCAAAAGCAAGTATGTTTTCCGGAGGACCTTAGAGGTTAATAAAAAGAGGTACATAAAAATTTAGAACAAAACAGATGGCTCTAAAAGAAATATGACATTAAACATATGACAGTACCAGTATGATCAAACAATATTTTTAGTTGGGATGGGATACAAGGACAAAGGGAATTACAGAGAATGCAAGAGCAGGTGGTGAGACGTAAAACAATGCTGGCACCAGTTCGATCAAACAATATATTTCAAGTAGGAAGGAATACAAGGACAAGAACAATGACAGAGAGAAAAAAGTATTCACGTAAGACAGTTCCAATTATTCAAATCTAACTTTTCCCTAATAAGAATAATCTATATCCAATAGATTAAGAAAAATCAGAATATAAAGCCACTGCAGAAGCTAGTCAATACCTACACTTTTTACTGAGAGCAATGTTATTCTGTTTGTTCTGTCGAAAGAAAATATCTCTTTTTTTTTTTTTTTTTTTTTTACTTTTTTATCTTGGTGAGAATGAAGTGTACCTGAGTTTTCTAAGGAGATTAACAAAAGTGTGAACAAGTAATCCATGAAACAACGGCAACCCCTAGGGTTACAACTATATAATCAACACAGCTCAAACCCACAGAATTATGCTACTAACCAACCTCTAGCATACAAGCCCTGATGGTCATAAAACAAACCTCTATCAAGAGATAGCATCAGGAATTCCATGATACAGGTCCTAGAATGATGTATACAATTCACCCAAATCTTATAGCTTCATAAGTTTTTTGATAACTAATCTATCATATAACATTTTCAAACAGTTGCAATGGACTTTGTACATGAATCACTGAAATGCTGATAAAAACCATGGAAATTAATGTGTAACCCATCAAGTAAATTATTCCAATTTGACAGGTTCTCCAAGATCACAAAAAGCACAGAGAAAAAACAGGAAGACCTAGAGAATGTAAAAGGTCGTTCAAAAACCAAGGAACTAGGCACACATAGCAGTACAGAACATAGAATTAGATAAAAGCATACCTGCAAAAATTCACATATGACAGAAACGAAGTCACGAAGCTTTTGCATAAAGATGAACTTCTCACCGGCAGCAGATAGAGACCTTTCAAGATCAGTAATTTTCAAGAGTGAGGCAGACAAATCTTCATCGGCCTTTGTCAGTGATGACATCACTCTACCATTAGTTTCCTGGTACGAAAACGAAAGTTAAGTACATAGTTGTAAATAGCAATTAAATTAAAATCATGAAACATCTTTATAAATATCCTGCCAAAACGAAACTTGATACATTGGGACAAAATTTTAATTATACTGTAAGAACTATTCTATTTCCACAATTAAGAATTAAAGTTTCAAAAGTTAATTAGAAGAGTGGAAATAGCACCATCAGATATCCTATGTGCTTCTTCTATATCTTAATTTTCTGAGTGTAATCCTCTCCCATAACGTCTACCAGTACTGAACTCTCATCAAATTTGAGAATTTTCCAAGATTGTGGAAAGAACCGTCAACTTAGCACCACTTTCTCTGAGACGCAAACAGGAGAATCTAATTGAGTGAACTACAGAAATTAACTTCTGGGGTTGGTAAATTACTGTTTTGTGTATGTATTTTAAAGTCTGTTAGATCTTATTCGGGTCAATGATGAATTGAGTTATTAGGTCTTTAAAATGGTCTTTAGTTGATTTAGAATATGGGAAGTTAAGAACTTGCATATCCTATACTTCTAAAATCCTACATTTTCTAAGGAAGTAGTCTAATCAAAATATATATACATCTCTCACAATCAAAACATAAAAGTTGATGTCTTTCAATCCAAACAACAAAATAGACTAACAAACCCAAACATACCTTAAGCCTATTGATATTATCGTTCACAGCTTTTATGGCATTCTCTCCTTTCTGAGATATTGACATTGTATCAAATCCTTGTAATGCTCCAATTGCCCCTCCAATACTCGGCGGAGCTGCTGTGGGATACAACTTCTGTGGCTGCACCAAGGGCTGCTGAGACATAGGAACACTTGTAGTAGCACTAGAAACGACCCTAGCAGCAGCAGAACTATCATCTATTCTCTTCCCTAAACCCTTCCTCACTTGCTCCTCTTCCCACATTTTAGCAACTTCATCTTCATCATCATATTCATTATCCTCCACGTTTTTCTTCCCAGCATTACCAACCACCACAGGCCTCTCATCCTCCTCCTCCTCATCCTCAAAAACACCCTTCTTCATATTCTTCTTGTCACTCTCTAGCTTCTCCCCAAACATAGCCACTCGCCTTGGAAATTCCGGTTCTTCATCACTCAAATCCTCTCCACCCAAACGCTGATCACTCCCTCCTTCCAACGATATATAATCTGGCGCCGCCCGCCCTCTAGATAGCCTCATTCTCTCCCTCTTTGCTCTAATTGCTTCTATTGTAGCTTTATCAGGAATCAAGTCTTTCCCTTTGGCAATCCCCATCGAAGCAAATCTCTTCTCCGTATCATCTTTATTATCAGAATCGGAATCCGAAGAAACCCTAGAAGGTTTGTCTTCGAAAAAGGTGGAATTTTGAGGCTTGAGCAGGCCCTTGAGGACAATTGTGGGTTCAGAAGAAGGCGGGGGTTTAGAGGAGGGGGCGGCTAAAGTTTTGGTGTTCTTTTGAAGTTCAAGGAGGGCTTCTTTAGTATAAGTTCCAGCTTGGGGTAGAACATTGGAGAGAATAGGAAGGCGTTCTTTAGAGGAAGTAATTTTGTGAGATGAAGAGGGTTTGTTGAGACGTGAAGAGGGTTTGTTTTTCACTCTATTTGAAGATGGGCGGTCTTCTTCTTCATCGTCAGCAAAGCTCAGCAGTTTCTTAGGTTTTGATGAGGAAGGTTTCTTACCCGTGGTGGTGGCGGCGGCGGACACAGTAGAGGGAGTACTGTCGGTGTTGTCTTCGTCGTCGTCGCTGCGACGGCGGAAGTTTCTAGCTCTAGAGCTGCTCATGGTGGTGATCTGAGAAGAATGGGAGCTCAAGATTAGAAAACTTACTCTAGGCTTTCCTCTGTCTCTCTCACTCCGTTATTTCTTAAATCACACTTTAATTAAACATATTTTTATTTGGATTATGCTAAATATTAAATAGCATATAGAATTAGTGAATAAGCATATATTTCTCAAAACGATTTTAGTTCAAATCATGAAAAAAAATACATGTATATATGTATGAAATTATGAATAACAATCATAGACATAAAGTGAGTATATTAAAATATATTTATCTACATCATATTCATTTTTTAGGACTTTAGTATATGGAATCTTAATAAAATGTTGGATATATAAATATAATTCCACACAAGGCTCTCTTCTTATATATGACATAAAATATTCTCTACTTTCTAAGAATGTGACTATATCAAAATTGAGCATTTTATATATAATAAGGTTCATATGAAAACACTGAACTAAACTAGGCATGGCAATAGGTCCCGAAATTCTGGGGCCCCGTCCCGACCCGCCCCGTATGGGGCGGGGATTCCCCAATTTTTTCAAGGATAGAAGCAGGGATGGGAGGAGTTTTAATCCCCATCTCCGGCCCTGTCCCACCTCACATAATTGAATCAGAACAAACCCTAACCCTTAAGTCTTAAACTTGTCACCATTGCCATTCGCCCTTAGCCAACTTCATATTGCCGTTCGTCATATGGACGAATACATAACGAGTTTGTATTTTGGACAAGTGCAATGCCTTAGTTTAAGTTTAAACGATTAATTAAAGTGTTTGTCATGTGGATGAATCTAAACATTATAAGAGAATTAACTATTGTGCTTAATAATGCTCAAATTGATGTTAATGTAAAATTAATGTGGTGGGGATGGGCCTCCAACATTCCCCATGGGGCAGGGATGGGGAATTCCTGGCATCCCCGCAATGAGGACGAGGTGGGAGTGGGGATTGATGTTGAGGGTGGGGATGAGGATGGGGACGGTGAATGAGATCCCCGCCCCACCCCGCCCTATTGCCATGCCTAAACTAAACTATAAGGTTGGAACTTGGAATATATTTATGTGTAAGCCTGCTTGTGAAACTTGTAGCAAGACTTTATTGATAAGTTCATAATGTTGTTACCTTCATACAAAAACGAAGGTTGTTTTAATGGGTAACATTCATTATCTTTTCAACTTTTTGATGAGTTACTCATTTGGTTGTTCCATCTGTTGGATTTGATGCACAGTTGTTTCATCTGAAGACACGCTTCAATCCAAGATACTAAAAAGTTAAAACTAAAGTTGTAAAGGTAATAACATGAAGTTAATAAACTTTTCTGTTACGCTTGAAAAAGTAAGGCTAACGCAGAGCCCTGTCAGCGTAAATGGTCAGAGTCTAGGCATATCCTATAGCCGTTCAGACACAGCCACGTTGCATACTGACGTGAGCAGCATGCTTCTGCCAGTGTAGTGAGTACGCGCTAGACTGACGAAAGGTTGGAGGCCGTCCACGTGTCCAATTCCTGTACTAAACAAGGAAATCACTCAAGTGGGTGAGCAACGGGACGCAAAGAATGATTTGCACGGTATATGTCCCCTTTTTACGGATTCTATAATTATTACTCCAATTCATCTCACTATAAATAGAGAGCTCCTCTGCCGTTTGTGGGATTGACTCATTTTTTACTCTGTAATAGCTAAATTCTCTCTGTAATAGGTTATTCTCTCTTCTGTAATCACTTGCAAGTCAGCTCGCTGAACGCGACCTGACCCTTGATGCGTGTTTCCTACAACATGTAATATGTAGCAAGTATACTAATCGCTTAAGTAATATAATGATGAGTAGAGTATCGTTCCCACGAGGACAGTTAGCTAAGCACTAAGTCTACTAATGTTATCAAGTTGAAGCAAACGACTTCTTTGGATTGAGGGGAGCTAATTGCAATTAAACTTAACAATAAATTTTAAACTAAAATTTAACTAAGAGGGCAATATTAAAACACGGAATCAATTCAAGTAAAATAGGTAGGGTTTTGACTTCATTTGGATTTTATGGGTTAAACCTAAAAATTACACTACAATCACATTCATACGCAATGGTTGTAAATCGAACTCACTAAGATGTTAACATACCCTCTCGGGCTATGTTTTCCTATTCATCCTTATTAACCTTCCGCACCCAACAATTTGAAGATTAACAACTCCGAACTCATTAAGCAAAAGAATCCTAAAATGATTTCATTAATTCTTGAATCTATCTCTAGCATCCAATATTATAATGGTGATTACCCAAGAAGCATAACATGACTCATTTCTCAATCTCATCATGTTCATCACAATATCCATTAAAACTCAGAGTAAACACACAACCAAAGCATACTCATATGAAAGTAAAACAATCAAACACTTAACCCATTAAAATCCAAACTACAATCAAAACCCTAACCCAAAAAATGGTTAGTTCATAGCTAAATTAACAATACAAAAACGAAAAACAGAAATAATCAAGTTCAACATAATGAAACTAAGATAAAAGATAAGAAATCTCCCCAAAAGATGAATCCCTTAGTTAGAATCGAATCTTCACCCTTGTTACAATCCAAAATCGAATCAAAAACTCATCCAAAGCATATGTAAAAGCTGTTTAACCTAAAAACGAAGACTCCTGGACAAAAGGCTTAGTTTTCCTTTTATACCTTGCCCAAAAGCACGCACAAAATGAAACTGTACATTTAACAAAACTGCAAATAATGACCGTCGCCGCGGCGAAGAAAGAAACAGATCTAGAGCGTCTGGCGTACTTCGCCGCGGCGAAGGACAAATCTTCGCCGGGGCGAAGCTATTTGACGAGTTCTGAAATTACAGAACTGCCACTCTGCTTGCTTCTTCGATTCCTTCTTCGATTTTCGATGCTCTCCCTTTGGAACAAGCCTCATCGTGCTTTATCCTGCTTCAGAACTCTCCTAACTTCTGAGATCCGCTAACTTTTGAGTCAAAAACTTCCAATTTTGTCCTTATTTGCATAAATTGTCCATTTTAACCTGAAACACAGAATGTAAAGAATTAAACAACAATTCAGGTCAAAATGCACCACAAAGTACTTGAAATCCGAATAAAAAGACAAAAGAAAACTGTATAATCCACGGATTATCAAATACCCCCAAACTAAAGATATGCTCGTCCCCGAGCATACGGTACAAAATCAACGAAACAAAAACATAAACAATGACGAAAACACAAAACACAACAAAACTGGAAAATGAACAAAACTAACAAGACTCAAATTCAACAAACAAATTGCCTAGAAATTGCACAAGCCTCAAAAGTTGTTGAAAAATTATAATAAGGAAATATTCAACACTCCAAGAAGTTATAAGCATTATCGACAGTCTTCCTCAATCGGTCCACCAAGTAGGTGATCCCCACTTCAATCCACATTTCAACTTCCCGGATTATTTTATGCAAAAATGTAAAGTTTATCAAATGGTGACGGACTCCATAAGCCTAAATATCGAACTACTCTCCACTAATGAGGACTAAACAAAAATGAGAATCAAAAGGTCTTAAAAAGGTTGTAACGTTAGGCTTGGATAGTGGGTTCCAACAAAAAGGATAGGAATCACAAAGTAAGAAAACTCGGTTTTCCTAATGCAAACGCTAACGTCTAATCGAACTCCACTTCTTCTTAACCACCAATTGAAATGTCTGCTAATTCACCACCCTCAAAACTTTCATTTTTCTTATTCCCGAAACCATAAATGCGGGGGAGCTTCGTTTAAGGTGTACGTGGCGTTGTTACACCAGAAGTTGCCAAGTACTGTGACTATCCTTCTGTTCTTTATTGTCTCTTGCCTTGGCTCAAGAAGAAGATGGAGTTAGCCCCAGATGTCTACCTTTTAAATGTGGAAACCTGGGAAGCATAGGCTTTCCCTTCTTAAGTGGAACGAATTCTGATTGCGGATTATGGAAGATAGATAAAGGTTTCAGTTGAATAAAGATTGGCCATGGTTCTATATTACAGGGATCTCTCAGACTAGCATGGTCTCGCTTCAAGAATACGAAACAATACCACCAAAACCTTTGGGCACTTGTGCCTTCAAAAATTTGAGCATTCCTTTTATATCTTTGAACCATTCAATCAAACCTTTTTTAGATGTCTCGGTAATAGAAGTATTGCAAATTTCGTTCAGGACTGCAAAGACTCCAAACAGTTGATTGGCTACCAAAACGGCTCAAGTGATGATGAATTCCAAAGACTTAATTCCCATTGTTCTGTGATTCAGCTCCTAATGAACAAGACTCAAAATGGTGTCGAGTTCCTTAATTTATATACTGGTTGGTTCCGTCTTCAACTGAATGTAAACATAGCATGTCAAAAGTGTTATCAGACAGGTGGCCGATGTCAAATTAACAGCAAGGGCCAATAACCAATTTCAGCGTGCAGAAAGAACATGTATAAAAAATAATCTGTCTAATTTATTTTGTATTTATTGCAACAAACATGGATGTGTGTTGGAATATGAACACTTTTTGGTAATTGATGAAGATATTGCTGGAGAAGAAAAAGACAAGCAAGAAGAAAAAAGGAATTTAAGTTTTAGCCAAATTTTTATTTTAGGACTTTGTATTTGAGAATATTTGCTTTCCTTTACTTTGAGTTGTATTAGGAAAGAAGAATTGGTTTAGGATTTTATTTTGAGTTAAAATATGAGAAGGAATTAAATTAGAGGAGTTTTATTTGAAATATGAATCCTAGTAGAAAATGAATGTTCAATTCTACTTATAAATAGAGAGGTTAGGACCAATTTAAGGTTATGAGAAACTGTATAAGAGAAAAAGAGAATGTGAGGACACAAGGGTTTTGATGTAAGGGTACTATAGAGTAAATGGCTTCAGGTATCAGGTAAATACTAAGGAGTATTAAACATCATAGGAACAAGATGTCCGCCTATGTAAAGGGTTGATGGTGTTGTATTGATAAAACACCCTAGGGTGGAATTCCTGCCTAAGTACTAGGTTGATGGTGTGATGCACTCATGTATTGTGTTTTGAAAATCATTGTGGATCTCT